CTGCTTCACCCCTTCGCTCCCAGCACCAGCAACCACGACCAGACAAACCTGGGCATGTGTTACGCTTGCAAAAGCTGCGGGAAAAAGCAACATACAGCAGGGAAAACTGATTTTTATACTTTTTTTCTTATCTTTTTAGGGCAAAGAAGGAAAAACGGACACAATTTTGCCAAAGCCAGTAGTTGTTATGCATTGATTGCAAGACTATTAATCTCACATCAGGTTTGCAGCACTGCCTTTGTTTTATGTTTTCTTTAAAACATAAGCAAGGTAAAAAACTGTGCAATAGTAAAAACTTAACAGTAACCTCAGGTGTCTTAAGCAAAAGAGTCCCACCATGAAAGATACAAATTCAAAGCCTCAGTTTTTAAACAAAAAGTTTCAAGGTCTTACTTTGGGAATAAAACCAGCATGGATTACTAGAAAATCAGCAATTTTACAGCAACTTACATAAGCATTTATAAATAAGAGAGAATCTACATACTCAGTAAATTCTACACCAGTTGTTTATGTTAAAGTTGAAATATCAGAAGAAACACACATAGGAATTACTAACTTTTTAATTTCCCTATGTGAATTAATTGGATCAGTGATGCTGCCTTCCTTGTTTACTAGCAGACGTTTTCAGACACAAGACAGGGAAGAAGAATCACCTCAGGGTACAGTTGTGGGACAGGCACTGTTCCCCCTAAAGCCGGCCTGGTGGCAGCTGCTGTAAGCATGAGAGCATGAAACAAAATACAAAAATGCCTCCGTTCTTAAAAAACCCAAACCAAGCTCGATAAATTCACCTGATGGCACCTGTAATTGTTCTGTCTATACCAAGCTTCAGTCTATACCAAGTTCAGTACTTCTCACAGTACTCGAACACTCTCTTTTGTTTGCTAGTGGACCCACAACATAATTATGTAAAGAAACTTTTATAAACGTGCTGATTTTCACCAGCAATAGGACGCCGTAAGACCAGCCAGATTTCTTTGTTACCCCCCTCCTTGGCTTTTCAGGTTCAGAGCTATTGCTCCTTAAGGAGTACCAAAACGTAAAGCCCCAGCTTTTTGACCAGGTGCTGCTGGCACATGGACTGAGAAAACTATATGATAACGCTACATAAAAGTCTATTAATGGGACAGAGCTGCTTTTCTGTCTATGTGCAGGTAATCTCAACACAATCCAGTTAACTGTAAATATTTGAAGTGGATGGTAAATCTCACAGCGATAAATTAATCTGGTATTTGGTTAAGAAATTCTATTGCTTTAAACAAATAATGATTCAGTGGATCTCAAAGTACTTGTCAAATATGCTTTTAATTATAATAAAGGGAAACAAGTTGGCTATATTGGAAGCTATACCAAAGGAAACATGGCTTCATCCACCCCAGAGAGTGGGCACCAAGGAACAGACACTTAATGAAAAGCAAAAAAGATCAGTTCGTTCAGAAGTCTCCAACAAGTGCCACCTCCTGTCTGGGAAACATCTCCTCTTCCAGGCACCCGGTCCTTGTGCTTCTGTTAACCCACGCACAGACATTCAATAACTAAAGGGTAACGCTCAGGATGACAGCTAACGATGACTGCAAACGAGAAGGGCTAGGGGAACGGGCAGAGACCCCATCCCACAGCGCTGCAGGACCCACACAGACAGCCCGGTACGGTATGGGAGGCACCGGGGTGCACCAAAAACAGTGCGATGGGCGTCAGGGTGCTCGGCTGGTCCCTGGGGGGGCTGAGGCCGAGGGGTGCAGCGCTGCCTGGTGCCGGGCAAGCTCCCCCCAGCAGAGCCCAGGGCAGGTACTGGCCGGGCAGCAGCTTGGCAAACTGCCATGGCTTGTGCCTAGCTGTGAAACAAGCTACGTCTGGTGGACTCCTGTCCTTGGAAGTGGAGCTACGGAAAGCTCTCCTGAAATCCCACAGGCAACATACAGGTCCCACTTCAATGGCCTTTGGAGAGGTGGCCAGGAGAAGTCGCCAGGAGGGATAACTCAGTGCATAGCATTTTGTCTGTCTTTTAACCCCGGACAGTACCACAGTGGTACCTTGAACCATCTGTCAGGAGACATATGTCTCCATCACTTGAGAGTTACAAAGAATAAAAATTTAAATTCACTTTTCACCAAAAATATCTATTGTTTTGAATTTACTGCTTGTTTTCTTAAATTCCCCTCTCCTGTTTCACCTGAAGTTGTGTTACTTTGTGCTGGACAAATTCCTGAACCACAAGAAAAGGACACCAATGGGACACAGACACAGAAGAAGCATCACTTCATCTTGCTTAGATTATAATTTTACCATACTCCTTCGCACTTGGATTAATTACAGAGCTGCAACCCTGCAAGTGAGCAGACCTGTTTGAAGAAGGAAATGGCATGTCTGGAGTCTGGCGTAGGAAATCAGACCTTGTGGGACTTCAGGAGTCTACTGATCAACAAGGATCATCAACTACCCAATGCCTGCTGAAGCCTCTGCAACAAATTACAGGAGACATCAGAGAACAAGCTGTCTAGCCCCGGGATGGGAAAAAGCTTCATCCAGCTTCCTGCGGCAGTGAGGAACCATACCTTCGTAAGTGTGCTATAATCCCCACCGACAATGAGATGTCTCCGGTTTTATGAGCCTGCAGGAAGCAGTCACGGGGCTCCAACCTAGGCTGATTTTATTTTAATGCTTTTATACCTGCGGTGAACAGAAAGTAGCTTCAAGAGAGAAGAAAAACCCTTGTCAAGAGAGAAGACAAACCCTTGAAATCCTGCACCTGTGAGCCACATCCCACTGCCAGCAGCTTCCCTCTCTCAACAGCAAAGATCACAGGAGACCACTTCCACTGACCATCTGAAAAGAACCATAACAGGAACGTATCTGAAACCACTAAATCTATCACTGCGCGAACACTGCTTCTGCAGCTTAAAAGGTCACCAAGTACTTCCCGAAACTGCTGACTGCTAATGGCTGTTGAAAACTGCCGTTTCGCAATCCATTCCTCAAGGAATCCGTTTTAGATAAACAACTTCTCACCATACACCGCAGTATGAACCGGAGACAAATCCACTCAGTTAACCAGAAAATAGCAAATATTACCTTCTAAAAACTGTTAAATCTCTACTTCAGCTAAAAATTCAAAGCGTATTTCCTGTACTCACATACCCAAAACATATGCAGATTGCAGAATCTGTAACAAACCCTTACTGATCTGAAACAACCCGATCAGGACGGTTCACTGCACACTTTCATCTGCGTGACCGGAGGAGGTTCATATTCCTGTGCCACGACAGCCGCATGCCAAAAACAGAGTACCTCAGACACAGAGAATGGCCATTAATCTCAAACCATTACACGTAATTTACTTTGCCATTTACAGAGCATCCAAGAACTGCCTGAAAAACTCCCCCTCCAAGCACAGGAGTTACAGGGCTCAAGCCTTTGTCGGGTGAGCGGAGACAGCAGGCACTCACCCACCATGTCTCTGCCATCCCCGTGCAATGCCACTGACTGACCGAAAGCTTCACTTGTAACATAGGCCAAGTATAAACACAAAAAGCAACCTGTGCCTGAATGAATATATGCTTTTTAATAATTGGAAGCAAAAAAGGCTGATTGTATAACATAGGCTTCTAATTCACTTACCTTATATCTCTGTCAAGCCTCATAAATTCCACTTGGTTTACTCTGCACAGTCAGTTTTCCCAAGATTTGCCTCACTGCACCTTTTCTCAGGAATTTGGACACAGATTGAAAACAAGAAAAGACTGCACTAACAGTCAGACTTCAAAAAAAAAAATTGAAGAAATAATGGAAGCTCCTTATCACTTCCCAGTGGCCAAGTGCTGGGCAGCCCGGGGGGGGGGAAGGCTGGAAGAAAGCCAAAAAAGCTCAACTTCTCCATTCGATTGTTAGCACATCCATGTCCCGCAGAGTAAAGGTACATCCCATCCGCTATTCCAGCAGCAGACAGTAGCAGATGCTTAAAAACCCGTGTAAAGAACAGAGGTAGCACAAAGTGGTATTTTCAATGGGCAACCTCCAGCTGTCAGCAATCAAAGCTGTGGGAGTTCCTGGCCCAGAATTTGCACCCAGACTATTGCATTTGCACCATGGTAAGACAGTACCCCTTCGCATTCATTTTAAACCTCCCACACGGGGGCTACAAGACAACTAAAAGGTAAAGAGAAACACTGCTAAAGAGGGCTCAAATCTCGTACAGGCAACACAGTCTGCCTTAAAAATCCATCTCGTCCGCACGATGCCAAGCAGAAACAGGCCCTGATCAAGCAAGGTTTCTGTTCACCTCACAAAAGCATCTAAAGCTCATGAGAAGGACATGAGTAAGAGCGACAGAGACAAAAGTACCTGTAATAAAGAGGCAGCAGACATGAGCCAGACAGAATGAATGCAAACGGAGCACCCTGAGCAGCGCCGAGATAAGCATCAGAGGGCTTCGAGATCGCGCCAACAGATGCCTATAATCAGCATCAAAGGAACTCAGTCCCTCGTTCCCATCCATCCTAAATGCCTTCTCATCCAGCCCACATTGCTATTTTCCTCGTCCAGAGGCGGGTAATCTGCAGCCTGAGTCACCGGCGGAGCCCCAGGCCTCCCCAGCAGCAGCTTCCCTCCGAGCAGGCGCGGTGGCTGCCCTCCAGCAGATCCCCTTCGGGATGCAAACCTCACCACGAAGTCAGCACCACAGCGAGCAGGAAGGACGGGAAGGTTTTACCCTACGGACACAGGAGATCCCAGCAGGACAGGGGGCCCATACCCCTGCGAGCGGCCCGTCAGAGATGGAAACGCAAGCCCAGCAGGCAGGATGCCTCGGGCTACAGAGCTGCTCCGATAAATCCAGAGGCAACCTGTTCCTGTTTCAAGGAAATTATACCAGGGACAATTTACTTAGGTGAGGCTGCGTAGGGCAAAGTTTGGTTCACACAGATCTATCTTTGCTGTTCAATACTGAGCAGACACAGATCCTCTTGATGAACAGCCAAAGGACTTTGAATTTTGGTACTTACAGAGAGGGGGCCCAAACAGCACTGTGTCCAGAGCTTTCAGCTGCAGCTTCTGCCTGTGGCTTCGATCTGTCATTTTCAGAACACTTCCCATCATGGTAGCGTTGTTCACTGCTAGCCTGTAAAAAAAAATTATATTAAAAAAAAAAGAAGTCGGCACGGTCATATCCATCTGGACTAATAACTGACCAAAAATCAGTAACATGGAGACTACAGGGGGAGAAATGCAATGAGCAGGACCTGAAAGCACCCTTCTTAGGCTATCAGGACAAATCAAATCCCTCAAATGTTGTCACCTCTGATATAGGATATCTCTATGAAAAAGTTAAGCAGCAGTGTCTTTGGCTTTACTCGGAGACAAAAGGAAAAACCAAGGCTATGCCTATTTCATTAATCCTGACAACCTAAGTTACTGATTTCCTATAAAAACTGATCTTTTGGTGTCCTACCAATCACTAATATTTTTTTTTGATCACACCTATATTGCTAGCCTTTGACATCTTATTTCATAGACCATAAGACCACGCTTCTCACTTGGAAGAAATGTGGGCACACCATGCACTGCCTCGAAAACCTTATTTTATTCCCAGTTAATCCCTCCTTTCTAGTCATTTTACAGACCCCTTTTCAGCAACAATAACCTTTACCCAAAAAGCTGCACTGAGTTTTTTCAAACCTGTTATGAGCTTAGGCCAACTCACAGCCAGTGTTTCTCTTGAGAACACAAGGCTTAAAAGGCTCCTTTGCTGGAGCATCGAGGGGCGTGAATTATCATCAGCACATACCAGAGCTGGGTGGTGCAGAGACACATAACCAGTAGCCCTTGAATGGGAACTTAAATGCTACTTAGATGCAACCCAGCAAGCAGACATGATACTTTGCTGAGGACGATGAACAATGACAGAGAAGCTCCATGACTGGGCTGTGGCTATGAAGGAAGGCTGAGGCAGAGCCAGGACGTAGCCTAGGTCTGCTTCGTTCCAGGTCAGGGTTTTAGCTCTAAATATGTCGCTCCAGGCGTAGGCAGGTGAAGTCTAGCGTACAAACCAGCAAGGACAGTATTCACGTCCACACAATTTGGACTGCAGCCTTTCCTTTCACCCACAGCAGATACACGCTCACTTACGGCTAAATCATTCCCTGCAGAGAGGGCTACAGCAAAGCCAAAGCCTCTAAACATAACCAAAGCGGAACAGGAATTAGACTTGGCTCTGTACAAGCCGAGGAATTGCACATGGTGTTACGAGCTGCCTCAGATCTGTTTTTTTCCCTGGCACACGTCCCAGAGGAACACAAGACAATGCAGTAAGCACTGACCTGGGCATGGCATGTCCACTCAGTTGCAACTTTCTGAAGGTCTCTTCGTACTGTGGCAGCTCTACGTAGGTAATGAGCCACTGAACCACCTCGTCAACTGTCCAATTATACACTGTAGGAGAGGTAGAAAACAAGCAAGCAGCTTAATATTTTTACTAAGCAACTAAAATCATCAAGCCAGCAACAACCGCATAACTCCATCAGACATACCTCATCCTATTGCCTTCAGCAAAGAAAAAATATCTGCAGAGTTTAAACACATTCCCATTAAGTATGCAGTGAGCTGGGGTGGGGACATTAAATCCTGTGGACTATTAGACAAGAATCAATCCCCCTGGGATACTCCAGGCAACCCTGCAGGTCCTCAGCCTCTACCTGTTTGCTTGTGCGATTTTTGCCTGTCTGTTCTATACATGACGGGCTGCTACAGATTCAGCGTAGACATGACGGGCCGCTACAGGTTTAGCCTTACAGACACCACCACACCATGCATAAGGACTGGTGCTTTCCCAACAACAGCCTCTGACAACAAAGTTTCACGGTGCTTGATTTTACACTGTGCTTCCAGCTCACGAAAGAAAAACATGCAATGAGGCCATCAGATAAAGGAGCAGCCTCAGACAGCGCTGGCGCAGATGATGCTTTACTGGCAGCCTTTTGCAATGTCACCAGAAGGGCCCAAGGCTGAGATCCTCAGAGAGGCAACACCCAAAGTGCTGGCAGATGATAAGTGAAATCTCTTCGTTTTCTATCACGCAAGTGATGTTGCTGTCTCCAAACTCCCAACAAAGTTTGTTCATCCTCACCACATGCCCAAACCCCTGAAAAACTGAATTCAGCTAACGTATCTGGCAACATGCTCTGAAAGCCTCACCCCCTCCTCCAGACCTGTGAGTATAATCAAAAAAAAGCGCAGTGGAGAAATGCTCTAAGAAAATGGTTGTGAACAGCTTGAGAAAGTGATTTGCGGCAGGAGGTGGAGCAGGCGCGACAGCCCAAGTGAACCAGGGGAACTTTTCTCCTTAACTGCCTCACCTGTGGACTTGCGGATTATTTTTGGAGCTGACACACAGCACCAAAGCCACAGATAAGGAAAACTTTGGAAACGAAGCTTCCACATTTGCTACTTAGTTTTGTCGTACTTATAGCAATGGTGTGAAAGCAAAGAAAATCACGCAACAGATTTTTTTCATAGGACAGAGGGAGGTTTGCTATGATTTAATTTAGCGACTTCTGTCTTTGCTTAGCATGGGCTGAGCTCTTGCGGCATTTATCCAGCCTCCAGCAACCCAGAGCGCTGTGCTGGACGTCACCCACCGCTGACAGTCACCACCTCGCACGCTTCTGGCCCAGCGTCCGTCGGTCTCTCCCACACGCCCTTTCCCACAGCCAAGTGGAGAAAAGGCCTGCTGGCTTTTACTGCTGGCTCCACGGGCCGCATGGCTCCCGAGTTCAGAGCTGCGCGGCACTTCTTCATGTCAACAATGAGTTGTCCCACAAATATGAGAAACATCTTCCAGCTCGCTCCAGCGAGCTAAATGCCTTCGACAGAAAGATGACAGAGCGAACAAGACAAGAGCCAAGCGCTGAGCAAAGGAGAGCAAGACTTGAAAAGAAGGTGTCACCTCCACGTAGGCTTGCATGATGACTCACAGAGGCAGGTTAGCAAACGCAAAGCCAGCAAGCTGCCCTCGCTTAAGGAAACTCGTAAACTAATGGTCACTGGCCCACAAACTGTGGGAAACCGATTTCTGTGCCCACAAGCAAGATGTTACAGCTGAGGCGGGCAGGGGAAGCCCGGTTCCCTGGGCG